GCACTCCAGTCCCTTGGCACAGGCTGTAAAAATCACCGGCTCTTGTTTGGCCATGTGATCAGGGATAACCCCCCCAAAAAACCCTTCTGCTGGCTTTAGGAAATTGTATTCATAACCTCCAGAAGCTGTGAATGCTCCAACACTGGAAGTCTTTAATAAGAGATTGGACAGCCATTTGTCTGAAATGATATAGGGTTTCCTGCCTGAGCAGGCGGTTGGACTAGATGACCTCCAAGGTCCCTTCCAACGTTATTATTATTATTAGTATTATTCTCAAGTCATCGCACAGTCAGCCAGATGTTCAGACTGGATTTGTGTATTTGTCTACCTAGTCTAGTCTTACCCAGGACCTGGATAGGCAGTGTGGAATGTTTGATGGTATTAACGGTATCGTCCGCAGGATGGAAGCAGTTCCTAATAAGGCCGCCTTTTTGCAATTGACTAATAGCAAATTTGTCATGCCAATGGGTGTTCAAGTGTGCTCCATTTGTTTTGGATTGCGCCCATGAGCCCTATGACTATTGGTACTACCTTGTTGCTTTTGCCACAGTCTTTCTATTTCTATTTGTAATGTCTTGTATTTTGGTGTATCTTCCTCCAGTTCTTTCTCTTCTATTCTGCTAGCACCGCAGGCACTGCCACATCCACTATCCAGACTTTTTTGTCTTTCTTATCGACAATTGTTAAGTCTGGGGTTTTATGTTGCAGGTGCTTGTCTGTTTGAATTCTGAATTCCCAGAGCAGTTTAATTTTATCATTTTCTATGACTTTCTCTATTTTATGATCCCACCAGTTTTTGCTTACAGGCAAATGATATTTTTTGCAGATCCTCCAATGCACCATTGTTGCTACTTTTTCATGTCGCTGCTTGTAATCAGTCTGTGCAATCTTCTTGCAACAGCTTACCAAGTGGTCCACTGTTTCTTCAGCTTCTTTGCATAGGCGGCACTTACTGTCGTTTGCTGTCTTCTCAATTTTGACTTTGTATGCATTTGTCCTTAAAGCTTGGTCTTGTGCAGCCAGAATTAGTCCCTCGGTCTCTTCTTCAATTTTCCTGCTCTTAGCCATTGCCAGGTTTTATTATTATCTGCTTTCCCAGCTATTTTTTTAATGTATTGGCCATGTAGTGCTTTGTCTTCCCATGCCTCTATTCTGTTCTTCATTGGGTCTTTCTTGTAGGCCAGTTTGGTCTCTCCAGTAGTCAGTAAGCCTTCCTGATATACTAATTTCAGTGCATCTTCATCATTGTTCTTCAGATATTCTTCCAAAGCCATTTTCTTCTTCACCCTCTGATGTTACGTGTAGCATTCCACGCCCACCTATTTGCCTTGGTAGATAAAGTCTATCAATGTCACTGCGTGATGAAGGGCATGATTCATTGTCATTATTTTTCTGGTCTGCCTATCCATTGCTTTTAGTTCTGCTTGAGTCCAGTCCACTATTCCAGCTGTGTATCTAATGACTGGGATTGCCCAGGTGTTGATTGCCTTTATGGTATTTCCTCCATTGAGTTTGGATTTTAAGATCTTCTTCAATCTCTTGATGTATTCACCTCTAATCTTTTTCTTGACTTCAGTGTGCTTGATGTTGTCAGCTTGAAGGATACACAAGTATTTGTAGTATCGTCCTAATCAAGAACTTTTAATGTTAATTTTCGTGGGGCATCTTGATTCCTTCAGTTTTCACGTATTTTTCACTTTTGTGATAGTAAGTGGGCACATTTGTCCCAAGCCAAATCCATTACAATATCTTGCTATATCTACGGGACAGTGTTGAGCGCGATTTCATCTCAGATGATAGTTTTCACATTACAGTCAGATCATCCATGTAAAGGATGTGGGATAGTCTGGCAGATGTTTTTGATGTTTGATAGCCATGTCCTGAGTTATTCAGTATTGTTGACAGAGGAAACAGTGCAATAACAAATAGTAATGGTGATAATGAATCTCCTTGAAATATTACTCTCTTGATATTAACATCTCCCAGCCTCTCACCATTGATCTGCAACTGTGTCTTCCATTGTGCCATCGATCTTTGCACAAATTTTCTGATGTTTCTACTGACTCCTGTTATTTCTAGGCACTTTATTATCCAATCATGTGGCAGAGAATCAAATGCCTTTTTGTAGTCAATCCATGCCACATTCAGGTTGGTTTTCCTTCTCTTGCAGTTTTCCAAGATCATTTTGTCTATTAGGAGTTGATCTTTTGTTCCTCTGCTATTGGGGCGGTTTCCTTTCTGCTCAGGTGGAAAGAGATTGTTTTCAAATAGATGCTGTTGTACTGCATCAGCTAACACACCAGTTAGTAATTTGAAAGTTGTTGGTAAGCAGGTAATTGGCCTGTAGTTACCTGAGTGTTGCCCCTTTTGCTGGATTTTTCATTATTAGGTAGTTTTTCCCAGTTGTTAGCCACTTTTCAATTTCTCCTCCTTGTAGTATATTGTTGAATTGCTTGGCAATGAGTGTGTGTATAACAGTTAGATGTTTCAACCAAAACCCATGCAGTTCATCTTCACCTGGTGCTGACCAATTTTTGAGTTTCTTTGCTCCTTTTTCTACCATTTTTGTTGTTATTACTAGTTCTTTCATTTCAGCTTCTGTTCTATTTGCATCCACCTTTCTTAACCAAGCCGCATCCGTGTTGTATTTCTTTGGGTTATTCCATATCTGCTTCCAGAATTGCACTGTTTCTTCCTTGTCAGGTACTGACTGATTCCTTGCAGTTTCTCCATTGATGGATTGGTAGAAACGTTTCTGATTGGATTGAAATTGGAGGTTCTGCCTATAGTTTGCAATTCGAGCTTCATATATACTGATTTTCCTGGCTATAGCTGTTATTTGTTGCTTTATTATTTCCAGTGCTTCCTTGATCTTCCTTGTTTCTAAGTGGTATTTATTGATTAGGTATTCTTTGGTCTTCTTTTTCTTCAGCTTCTTTTCTTTCATCTGTTCTAGCTTGCTTGCATGTGATCTTAACTTGCTGATCTTATTTTCTAGTCTAACCTTCCATTTTTCTGGTGCACTGTTTGTGTGTTTTTCTTTTTTGTTGATTTTACATCCCAGGTATTCTGTTATAACTGCAGCTGTGCTGTACATTAATTGGTTTGTTTCTTGCAGTGAATTGGTGCTTATACTTGCTATTGCAGTATTTGCATCTTTTAATGCTTGTGCTAGCTGTTTCTTTGGAACAAGCTTCAAAGCAGGCAGCCTTATTCTGTTGTTTTTGTGCTATTCTAGATGCTCAATTATTCTTTGTTTCAATTCTTTTATTTCTTTAGTTAGAGGGTTTTGTTCTTCCTGAGGAAGAGGTGCCTGGTTTCCAAATGAGAACAGTTGTATATCTATACTGGATTCTTTCACTGCCAACTCCCCCTGGTTTGCCTCTACATTCTGAATTACTTCTTGTAAGGCTTTGATTTCTTTGCCCTGGGTAAACCTTTGCAGTTCGTCCAATTCTGTTTCTGTAAATACTTTATTTCGTGTTATAAATCAGCGTTGATCTGCTAGTCTCTGTTCTGTTATTTCTGATTCTGGATGTTGTTCTTTCCAGAATTGGTGCATTCGTTTTAGATATCCTCTTCTTGTTGGACTTGATCTGTAGTAACAGATCATTATTTCTTTGTTTTCCATCACTGTGTATCTGCGACGGGTAAACACCTTTTCTTCCAGTAGTTCTGCAGCTGCTGGCCCTGGTTGCTCAGCAAACAGTCCTGAGTCCTGTAACCAATTTTTCACCAGATATCCAGGAACTCCAATATCTAGGCGGACCGTGTTAACAAGGGCGACGTCCGAGCCGGTAGGCCATCTGAAATTTACGTCAACCATATTTGTATGGGAGAGAACACTCTTTGTCTGACTCTCTGATGGAGACCTGTCCAGTATGGTTGAACCTCTGGCATAGCTCTCATCTTCCTCAGAGTACACAAGCCCCACAACCACGTCAAGGTAGTGCCTCACTGGGGGTATTATTATTATTATTATTATTATTATTATTATTACTATTATTATCTATTATTAACCCGATCAGCACAGGAAGTCACCAAGTTAAAATGGCAGCTGTTTGCAGCAGTGACTGAATCCAAGTCACACGGCTACAGAGGCCTCTTCTTGGTCGCAATTTAACATTTCTAATGTAAGTACCCTTTCTGAATAAATTTGTTTTTGTGAAAACTCGCTAAATGTATGTTCGTAACTGGGGAATTAACTGTATGTGATATTTTCTGTAGCTAAATCAGTGGAATCAAATGACTAAGAAAGTCAATTTTCTTTCAGAAGTTTAAAAACAGCATCCTAGTTTTTGTTTTTTTTTCCCAGTTAAATGAAATTCAGCTGAACTAAATTTCAGTTAAATGTTAGGGGACCTAAATGCTACTAACTCACATTTCTGGGTTCTTGTGACAGGAAACCAAAGCGAAAAAAAAATATAAAATGGAAGAAATAACAATAAAAAGAACAAATGTCATTTTTCAAAAAAGCCTAAGAAAAGTGACAAATACAATGTCTCAAAAAGTTGATTAAAGTTTGCCTTGTTTTATCAAGTAAGGACTCCCAGATTTAGAGCCAAAGAAATTTATTATCTTTTTCCCCTATCACAAGTGTATACATATGTATGAATGCTGGAATGTACCTTACCAAGATGCTTCGGAAATTCAATCTATCATCCACAAAAGTATGTATGTTATGGAAATTATGCTGGGCTTAATTATACTTAATGTGAATTATTCAAAGCATAGGAGGGACAGGGGGGAAAACATACAAAGGAGCCTGACATTTTAATTGGTCCTTCAGAACAGACAAAACAATTTCCTCTCCAGGAAATTTACATCTCTCCCATCAAAACAGTTGCCTCATGTGAGCAGAACTTCATTAACAAGATTAATTATCATGCCAGTGCCTGCTCATCAGGTGTGCTAGTCAGGTGAAGAGGTGAATGCAAGGGAGGGAAAGTAAGGATTGGCACTAATTCTAAAAGGAAGAATATATCGAAAGAACATCTTACCTTGATCATTAGCCATTTTGTCAGGATGTTCCACTGCAAAGCAAATACAATATTGTCAGATTTTTGACACTTTCTGGGATGTACATTGACACATCAAGTCAACAGTTCTGTTAACCAAGTTTTATTTCAAGATGGTGCCACTTCACACTTTTCTTTGGCAGATTGATGGGCAGAAAAGGCGAGATTTTAGCATTTCTCAGAGTCATTTTGAGGGACTGAAAACACAAGTGTGACTTGGATCATCTGTGGCTCATTACTAATGAAGTTAGATGTTGCTTTTCTAAATGGGGGAGTAATCCACATTGTTTTCCTTTTAGATGTGAGGTATCATCTGGAAAGCTTAATTAAATGTGAAAATGAGATGGAAGAGAGATTGTTCCTTTGAATAATTAGTCAAAAATTCTTCCGTGTGATAGTTCTGAAAGCTAGTTCTGACTGAAGTAGTTAACATTTTAAGCCCTTTCAAAAAGTGATCTCGCTGGCTTTTCTTAACAATTATCAAAAGAAAGATTTAATTACAAATGGTCTAGTTAAATGTCTAAGATTTTTACATATTGCTAGAAGTCCTGAAGTACCACCACAAACTCTTTCTTAAACTGTAGAAAATGATTCAACTGAAGTTCAAAACCACATAGAATTCTAAACAGTATCCTATTTTTCAAAAACCAAAGGTGCTTTTCCAAAAGACCACTGGGCTTTCTTGGTTTTTTTCCTTGAAAATGTTTTGCTTCTCATCTAAGAAGCTTCTTCAGTTCTGAAGAAGAAAAGCACTTTAGGGACAACCGTGACTTGGATGATCGAGAATCTCTATAGAATACTGTTTCAAAATAGTAGACAGAAGTAAAAAAGTTTCCCAGGTACTTTGCCTAACAATGCTGTATATATGGTATCTCGATTTGGCAGCCATGTGCCAAAGAAACTTCTGAATAGCACTATCACTGGCCCTGATTTTCTAATCTTTTTTCTCTTCACTCAGTTCCTATCCAAATCAGAGGACATTTCACATGAACTTCCTAGAGCTAAGTTAACTCATCTTCATGATTCCTCCTACTGTGTCAAAGAGTCTTCTGAATAGACCTGTCTTCAGCTGGTACAGCGTCAGAGCATGCACAGTCTTTTTGTGCTGAGATAACCCAGGAGTAAACACAGTAAACAATGGTCTATATTAAATGGTGGTTTATCTTACACTATCTACAATATCATACACCAGGAACAATATACATAAAGATGTTAATATAGCAGGCTCCAACACACAGTAGTTACAGCAGGAAACAGACGAGGGAGAACACAGCAGCAGAGCCTTCCCTTTTACAGAAAGGCTCTTAAAGGGACATAGATCCTGCTGAGTCATTCCTATCATTACATCATACATCTGACATTATACAAGCTGGTTAGCTGTTAAATTATTACCTTGAGATACAGAATATAGTGGCACTGGTAGTTATGTGCCTCTTAGAACAGAATGTGTTACACTTGAACTGCATTGGTTGCCACTTTACCTCTGGGTCCATTTTCTCAATTTGTTTACATTGCATTTTTTTGTTTAGTTCTACTGAGGAAAACCTTCAAGATCTAAGTATCTGGAAATTGTTTTTAAAGTATTAAAGAAAAACATGCATTGTAGCCAGGCAGGGACTATTGAGTTTTTCTTCTTTGGTTTTTTTTTTTTTTGGGGGGGGGGTTGGCTCAGTTCTGCTTTGGCATTTATAACAATTAATTGCAGTTCCATCTCTCTTTCTCTATTGAAGTGGCAGCCAGAATCCCAAGTAAGATTTTAAAAAAACACACTTGGCAGATTTTCTTAAAATTGGCCTAACTGAAGAGCTAGCCAAGATGTAAGAATACTTTCTCTATGAATGCCAATGCACTGACAATATTTCCAACACTCTCCATTTTCAAATTCTCAGGGCAGTTGCAAAGATGGAGACCGAAGTTAGTTTCCTATTTTACAGAAATACCCCTCCTCCGTACAACCATTGGATGTAATGAAAGGGAACATATTTGTATCAAGGCAATATAAAAGTATTTCTGATATAATGGGATGGCAAATGGCAGGCTCATGCCTCAGAAATGACACAGTGCAATCCACTCAAATTTGAAACTTGCTTACACCAAATAGACAGAACCTTGGAAGGTTAAAGCTGTAACCTTCTAACTTAATAAATAACCTTCCAGTATCATATTCAAGTCACCAACGAAGCAATATTCAATTCAAAAAGGCATCCTTAATAGATCTAATTTCTTATTAATTGATTCATTTATTTTTATCCATTAGCATAAGTGTAATTTTTTAATAACTCAACTCAAGAATTCATGTCTTCCATAGCAGAAAGACCCCCTTGTTGGTTTTGTATACATCTTCAAAATGCTACTTAGCACCACATAATTTCCCATCTGATGCTCTCTAAATGTGATAGGACTACAATTCCCAGAATTGTAAGATCTAAGATCTTATCTACTTTTGCACCCATGTCTGAATGATGCCAATTTGGTGAAGAATAAGCTAGAATTATGTTTAGAGAATGCTGACCTTATATCATCTTCCTATATCATACTTATCTGAAAAAAGCAATGGGCTTCTAATTAATATTTCTACCTGAAATCTTTAAGCAATAAGAAAACTTGATAAAACAAGATTGCCTGCTGCTTCTACCTATCCTCAGAGGAACGTGACTAGGGTTCCACAGAGCAAAACAAACAGTTTTGCTTCCAATTCTACTTAATGAAAGATTCATTTAATACTAAATACTTCCAATTCTACTTAATGAAAGATTCATATAATACTAAATACTTCAAATAATACTAAAATATGTCCACATAGTATTCATCCCATGTATATGAAAAAGTTTCTTAATAGGGGTTGGCAGAGAAAGTGTGTTGATTGAAATTTGTCCCTTGGCAAAGGCACCTGTTAAGGACCTTTAATATTCAGTTGCCTTACAGAATCCAGTCTGCAATTAAAATTAATGTGAAAATTGGAAGTGACAGTTTTGAATAAAATTATGCCACAGTTGGAGCAGAAGGGAATAATTCTCATCAGTCTGATTCTTCCCAAATTCCCGATTTTAGATCTAGGTGAAATCTAGCACTGTCTCATAATGAATGAGTTGAAAAACCAAGGGATTTACTTCCTGGTGTGATATCTCCCTTTTGAACTGATATTTTTAGTTAACTACATTCTTGAATGGAGCCACTCATTTTCCGATGTTCAGTGGCTCATGAAAATGTTCCAACAGAAATGTGTATGTTGAAATGTTATTTTGCACTTGGAATGTTCCACACTTGGAATATTGTGTCCAGTTTGGTCACAGTGACACAAAAAAGATGCCGAGGCTCTAGAAAGAATAAAGAGAAGAGCAACTAAGTTGATAAGGGATCTGGAGGTTAAACCATATGATGAATGGTTAAGGGGACTAGGTATATCTAGCCTAATGAAGAGGTGTGACATGATAGCTGTCTTGCAGTACTTGAGGAGCTGTCACAGAGAAGAATGGGTCAACTTATTCTCCAAAGCATCAGAGGGCAGGACAAGAAGCAATGGGTGGAAGCTCATTAAAGAGAGATCCAATCTGAAACTAAGGAGACATTTCCTGAAAATAAGAACAAAGGAACAATCAATGGAAGAGCTTGTCTACCAGAGCTGTGGGTGCATCATCACTGGAGGTTTTCAAGAAAAGATTGGACAAAGATTGGACAAAGATTGGACAATAGGATCTCCTGCCTTGGGCAGAGTGTTGGATTAGAAGACTCTAACGTCCCTACCACCCCTATGAGTCTATGATTTTAAATCTTTCTGCTATAAACACAATGGAAGGGTGGAAGTGAAGGTTTAGTTTTTGCACGATTCAGCCTATGGACCATTACCTGCAAAGTTGTGGCATGTTTTGTCATGTAAGTTCTGTCATTGGGCGCGATCTAACAAAATGAAATTCAGTGCTGAAAAAAAGTAAGGTTCTACATTTAGGCAAGAAAAACCAAATGTACAGGTATAGTATAGGTCAGGGGTAGGCAACCTCGGCTCTTTTATGACTCATGGACTTCAACTCCCAGAATTCCCGAGTCAGCTGACTCGGGAATTCTGGGAGTTGAAGTCCATGAGTCATAAAAGAGCCGAGGTTGCCTACCCCGGTATAGGTGGTACTTTGCTCAGTAGTAGCAACTGTGAGAGGGATCTTGGAATCCTAGTGGACAATCATTTAAATATGAGCCAGCAGTGTGCTGCAGCTGCCAAAAAAGCCAACACAGTGCTAGGCTACATCAACAGAAGGATAGAATCAAGATCACGTGAAGTATTAATACCACTTTACAATACCTTAGTAAGGCCACATTTGTAATACTGCAGCCAGTTTTGGTCACCATGATGTAAAAAAGATGTTGAGATGCTAGAAAGAGTGCAGAGAAGAGCAACAAAGATGATCAGGGGACTGGAAGCTAAAACATATAAGGAACAGTTGCTGGAATTGGGAATGTCTAGTCTAATGAAGAGAAGGACAAGGGGTGACATTATAGCAGTGTTCCAATATCTCAGGAGCTGCCATAAAGAAGAGGGAGTCAAGCTGTTCTCCAAAGCACCTGAAGGCAGGACAAGAAGCAATAGATGGAAACTAACCAAAGAGAGAAGCAACATAGAACTAAGGAGAAATTTTCTGACAGTTAGAACAATTAATCAGTAGAACAACCTGCCTCCAGAAGTTGTGAATGCTCCAACACTGGAAATTTTTAAGAAGAGACTAGACAGCCATTTGTCTGAAATGATATAGGATTTCCTGCCAGAGCACAGGGTTAGACTAGAAGACCTCCAAGGTCCCTTTCAACTTTATTATTATTGTTGTTGTTGTTGTTGTTATGTGTGTCAAGAATGCCTGACCTCTCTTTGACTATTGTTACACAAGCACACCTAATCTCCGTCAAAGTGTAATTTAGTGACACTGTTACCAATGATGTAACAGTAAATTATATACCTCCTCAAGGAATAAGTAATTCACAATTCTCAATAGTCCTGGGTTTTCTTGGAAGTCTGGTTGGAATCAGCT